TCAGGTACGATGATTTCTGACCTCGAACTAAACTAAGAATCCGACCTGTACTGACTTGATCGTCGGAGTGCTCACCTTTTTGTGCAGGTCCGCCCAAGTATTCAGATCGGTCCGGGGGCCGAGTTCGAGCTGCAATCGGAAATACATTGTTGTGCATATCCTTGCATAAACATATGCTTCGTCCTCTGCACCTTTTTTTTACGAATTCTCTCTCCTATGCTTATTTGTCTCTTGATCATTGTCGGTTTATTCTTAACGTCTCTATGAATTTGAACCAGTTTATTTTCATTAGGCTGTTCAGTACCCACAGTGGCGGAAGGCTATGGATGACGAACTTGCTGCCCTGGAACGAACCAACACTTGGTCTCTTGTTCCGCTTCCTTTTGGACAACATGCTATTGGCTGCAAATAGGTGTATCGGGTTCAATATAAGGTTATGGCACGGTGGATCGTTACAAGGCACGTCTTGTGGCTAAAGGTTATAACCAACAAGAAGGTATACACTTTATAAATACTTTTTCTCCAGTTGCCAAAATTGTAACTGTTAAAGTTTTGTTGACCTTATTTGCTTCTTTTAATTGGCCTCTGGTCCAAATGGATGTCAACAATGCCTTTCTCAATGGAGCTTTATTTGAGGATGTTTATATGTCCTTACCACTTGATTATAAACCTTCTATTCGTCAGGGGGAGTCTCTTTCTTATAAGTTGAACCGGTCGATTTATGGTTTAAAACAGGCATCTCGTCAGTGGTTTACGAAGTTTTCTCATGCTTCTATTTCCAGTGGTTTTCAACAGTCCAAGGCAGATTACTCACTTTTTACTCGTGGGCATGGTTATGCTTTTATTGCTTTATTGGTCTATGTTGACGATATTATTTTGACTGGTCCTTCCCCAAATGAGCTTGCATCGTCAAGGCTATTCTTCGATCAAATTTTCAACTTAAAGATTTGGGCAATGTTAAGTATTGTTTGGGTTTGGAAGTTTCCCGTGCTCAGCATGGTTGTTTTTATCTCAACTTGAACATACTGGTTTTTTGGGAGCTTGTCCTGCTGTTTTTTCGTATGGACCCAAATCTTAAACTATCACAGTCATCTGGTGATCCTCTTTCCGATAAAGAAGTAACGTCCTATCGTCGCCTACTTGGTCGGTTGCTTTATTTATAGATATCTCGCCCGGATATTTGCTTCTCTGTGCATAGACTCAATCAATTTCTTCAACGCCCATGTTCTGGTCACTTGGTTGCTGTTCATCATCTATTGAGGTATCTTAAAATCCTCTGCTTTTGTAGATGCTAATTGGATTGTGTTCAGATACCCGTCATTCGATTACTGGTTTTTGTATTTTCTTGGGAGAATCTTTAATTTCCTGGAAGTCTAAGAAGCAGCCCACGGTTTCTTGATCAGCCGAGGCTGAATATCGTGCCTTAGCTTGGTGTTACTAGTGAGTTGATATGGATTCATCAGTTTCTTTCAGACTTACATGTTTCTTTCTCTCCACCAACTGTGGTTTACTGTGACAATCAAGCAGTTGTCTCCATTGCTTCTAATCCAACGTTTCACGAGCGTATTAAACATATTGAGATTGATTGTCACTTTGTCCATGACAAAGTTACTAATGGTTTTTTTAAAGCTCATGCCTATTCGATCTAGTTCTCAGTTAGCAGACATGTTTACCAAGGCCTTGGATTCTACTATGCGTTTTTTAAGTCCAAGATGGATGTTTTTTATCTTAGAACTAAATATAATTTGTTAATGTAATCTTGGTAGTTATTTAGTTTGTTATTAACAAACTAACCATGACTGTATATATACGTAGCAGTATTAACACTATTGTAGAAGTGTATTATTTTAATTATTCAATAATACAATCCTTATCTCTATTATCTGTACCACGTAATATCGAGAAAAGCCTAACATCTTCAATCCTTTTCTTGTCTTCGCTGCATAATCGCAAATCCTTCTCATCTTTTCATCTTCGCACGAATCTTCATTCGTGAAAATAATCTTCACAATCGCCGCTCCCTTCGTGCAAATCTTCACTGCTTCCGTTCTCTCTCGTGCAAACTGAATGGAAATGAGGGTTTTGAACCCACCCCTACGCCGAAATAACTCTGATTCATCCCACGGATGCCTCTCCTCTCCAATCCATAGATTTTCAACTCTCACAACTCCATTCTTGATTCGTTTTTGTTCTTTATCATTTTTCTTATCGATTTGCGCCGCCTGTGCAGAGTTTTTAGGCTTCGAAGATCAAGGTTGTATTCATATCCGTTTGTGCTGAGTAATTTTTTTTTTGTTTTGAGGAGAGATGGTGGGTTCCAACATTTATTTTTTGACCCAGAGCAACCATTGACTCAGGTTACGTACTCGGTGCTTCAACGACCTCACTCGTGTCTTTGCCGCTTCCCCTCTTCCTTTTGAAATTCTTTGAGTTAGTCACTAGGTTCACAAGTTTTTAAGGTAAGGTTTATAAAATTTCGAGCAACATTTGTGAATCTTCATGAAACAAAAATTTATGTTAAGTGTAACGATGTTAAGAGTTTTTAGAGAGAATTGAGGAAGGCGTAAACCCTAGCTCTACAATTGAAGCCTCTGCCGACATTTGCTAATTGAATTCAACAACCATGGCTACTGCAAGGGCAATTAAGGATCTATCTCCTTAAGAGTTTGTGAAGTTATTTGCCACTCATCTCAAGCAATTCGAAAAGGTATCAATTTTGTATCTCTACTCTGTTTTTTTCCCTTCTAATTTGCTTGATGAGATAACTCAATTGTTGATTGAAGATAATATTATGGGATTTTGGTTTGGAAAGTGGAGTGAATGCTAAATTTGAAGTTTCATCCATTCTGGTTCTATTCTGGAGTGTGCTTGTTTATGTATTCTTTACCCTCATAGGGTTTAGTTTTTTTCTCCCTTTTCTTTAATTTTTATTTTAGTTGTTTTATTCTTGAATTTTTACTAAAATTCCTAATATTAGTTTCATTATTTCGTTATCGGATTCTTTAATATTTATTTGCTTATTTTATATCAATTTGGATATCAGGTTTGATTTCGTTGCTCTCAGTACATTCTTCGAAGGTGAGCTGCACGTATACGAACATGGTTTTTCAAGTTCATATTTCCAATATTTCAAATTTGTGTCTTTGTATGCCAGTGGCAGGTTGGCTACTTTTAAATTTTTAGTTACTAGGTTCCATTATAAGTACTGTGCTTTTTGTCAAACTTTTGATCAACAATGTCAAAATTATGATTGACCACTTGTATATATGTGCCGTAGAATCAAAACCATGGATGGACAAGTTACATATACTGCATAACTTGGCATCAGAATGTGGTTCATCAGCCAAGAATTTCAAAGCTATTGCTGATCTACCAACGACAAGTTTGCAGTGATTGAAGGTCATAATTCATAGTTACTCCATAGTTAGTCCAGTATTTATTAATGTTGGAAATAGATTTGTTGCTCCAAAAATTATTGAAGACAACTTAATCAATCATGTTGGATCTTGCATCTTTGTTTACTCTTTTTTGCTTGTACAAATGTGACTCCCATGGTTGTCTTTTAACCTCTCTTGATACATAATTGCCCCTTATCAGTAAGTAGGAAAAATTTGTTCAAAAACAAGTTATTGTTCAAGATTATTTTTACTGGTAGAAAGGAAGAGATGAATCTGTAGATCCCTCCCTATTGATGCATGATCAACGAATATGATGAGAACTTTCCTTTAACTTCACAAAATAAAATATAGCTTGACAACTTTTCTTTATTTTCTGCAAGTTTCATGTATTGGTGAAGTTCTTTGGTTTTCCTACTATTTTCCTAATTGTTGTAGCATTTCATTTTTGTTGTTGCTCTAGCTGATTGTCAATGCACCAATCTTATATAGTAATATATCTATAGTGTTTTATTGTTGTAGGTACGAGCCCCACTGTCCAATATATATCATTCTGTTGATGTTGTAAGCTTGGTTGCGCATCAAATAATAGGCAAGTTTACTTCGTTAAAGCTTTTAACTTTGGTTGGACCTTTAAATTTTGTGGCTACCGATTTTCAATTAATGATTTTTTGTTGGTCCTTAGTGTCTCACTCATCTCCAATATGAAAATAACTCTCTGAATACAAAGTTCACTATTTACTAGTATTTTTAGTATTCACAAATATTTGAATCAATTGCTTCCCAAGTTTTATCAAACATGTTAAAATCAATAATTTAATGTGTTTTATTTCAACCTTTCATTGTCCATTCTTACACTTGTTATGTTTTTGTTGATTGTCATGTTATCTTCATTACTATATATATATATGTCCCTAGCTTAAGTACTCAATCAATAGGTTTAATTTAAAAAAGCCACAAGGGAAATGGGGATCACAATTTCCATATAGCTCCTGATTTCTTAATACATCACACATCAATGAAGCATTTGTCTACTTTCTAATTAAACCCGGTTTGTGAGGTAGATATTGTCTTGTAATAATTGCAGTCATATTTTGATCAACTTCAACCTGCTACAATTGCAACACTAAAATAAATATAACAAACATTTTGTTATAGGTATTTGTAGTGATTTCTCCATAATATTTATACTTTGCCGAAGTCATCCTTAGAAAGTGATGCTTTACAACATGATATTCATTATTGGCTTGGTAAGTGTTAATTAATAAGAAAAAAAATAATTATCTGTTGCTTACTTCCAAAGAATTGATACAAGACTATAAATAGGAGCTATATACAAGAAAAGAAAAGAAACCCTTGCCTATTAGGATAAGAAAACACATACCCATTAGAACAAGGAAACCTAACCTAAATACAATAGGAAATTAAAAGAAAATAATATAATTTAACACTCCCCTCAAGCTTGTGAATGAATATTTTATATTCCTAGCTTGTGAACCAAACGCTCAAAGTTGTTGTTGTTCAATTCTTTAGTTAGGATATCTGCTATTTTATTATTTGTTGGTACAAATGGAGTACATATGAGACTGCTGTCTAACTTCTCTTTTATGAAGTGTCTATCAACCTCAATATGTTTGGTTCTATCATGTTGAACTGGATTATGTGCAATATTGATGGCAGATTTATTATCACAGTAAAGTTTCATAGGCATTTCCCATGGAATCTTCAAATCTTCTAAAATAATTTTTATCCACCGTAACTCGCAGATGCCCAATGCCATTGCTCTATATTCCGCTTATGAGCTCGATCTTGCAACTACATTTTGTTTTTTACTTCTCCATGTCACTAAGTTTCCACCAAAGAAAGTACAATAGCCAGAAGTGGATTTTCTATCATCTATCTATCCTGCATAATCTGCATCTGTATAAACTTCTATATTGAGTTTCTCGCCTTTCTTAAACAACAATCCTCTCCCAATGGAGTTTTTCAAATAGTGAAGTATTCGGCACACTGCTTGAAGATGAACTTCTTTTGGACTATGCATAAATTGACTTACCACTCCTACAGTACACGTAATATCTGGTTTCGTATGAGAAAGATATATTAATTTTCCAACTAACCTCTGGTAAGTTTCCTTATTTACTAGACGACTCTCTTCAGATGTACATAATCTATGGTTTTGATCAATTGGCGTTCCCATTGGTCTACTGCCAAGCTTTCCTATTTCAAAAAGTAAGTCAATCACATATTTTTGTTGTGATAGGAATATGCCTTGTTTAGAATAGGCAACTTCTATTCCAAGAAAATATTTCAGCTTTCCTTGTTCTTTAACTTCAAACTCTTGGATTAAATAATTTCTCAATTTATCTTGTTCGTTATTATCACTACCAGTGACAATAATATCGTCAACATTAACAATTAGTGCTGTCACTCCCTCTGTAGTAGAATGTTTTTTAAACAATGTATGATCTCCCTGACTTTGTTTATAGCTCATCTTCCTCATAACTTGAGAAAATGTACCAAACCATGCCCTAGGAAATTGCTTTAGTCCATACAACGCCTTTCTTAATTTACAAACTTTATTTCCTGCCTGCTCATACCTAGGTTGAATCTCCTTATAAATTTCTTCTTCTAGATCACCATGCAAAAAAGCATTTTTTTACATCATATTGTAACATGTCCCATCCATGATTTACACCAAGAGATAAAAGTATCCATATTGTGTTCATCTTGGCAACGGGCGCAAAGGTTTCAAGGTAATCAACTCCATATGTTTGAGTATATCCTTTAGCAACCAACCGTGCTTTGTACCTCTCAAGTTTTCCATCTGCTCTAACTTCACAGTATATATCCATCGACATCTTACAGCTTTCTTATCTTTTGGTATAGTAACCAGCTCCCATGTTCTTTTTTTTTTTCTAAAGCCTGCATTTCAAGATTCATTGCTTGCCTCCATTCTTCATGTTGTATTGCCTCCATATATGTTTTTGGAATATTTACCTGAATAAGATTAAGCATGAAACTTTTGTACTGACTTGAGAGTTTGTCATATGATACAAAGTGAGACAATGGATACTGAGTACAAGTTCGGTTTCCCTTCCTTAAAGTAATAGGCAAATCCAGGTTTGACTCATCATTAATAGTTATTGTAATGTATGATTCATCATTGATTCTTTTATCGTCAATTTCAGTTCTAGAGATATGTTCAGACTCTTGGACGTGCGTATCCTTTTCAATGTTCCTTCTTGAATAAACATGTAATGGTATAGTTGTAAAAGGGTTAGATGACCCCAGTGAGGTGCCTATGGGTGGTAAAGGGTTATATGGCCCTGGTGAGGTGTCTATGGGTGGTAAAGATGAGGAGGATTGACTAATGTTTGGGTCAATGTCAATAGGGTTTGGTACAAGTGATGATAAAGGATTTAATATAGGAAATGTGAGGTTAGTAATGGGCATATTCTTATCTTCCAACAATATTTCCTCCCCCTGAAGATAAGGTAAGGTAAAGAAGCTGATGTCTTCATAAAAGGTAACATCAGCAGAGATGAAGTACCTTTTTGAAGAAGGATGATAACATTTATATCCCTTTTAAGTGTTCGAGTATCCTACAAAAATACACTTGAGTGCTCGTGGATTAAGTTTACCTCGCCGATGACTATGAACATGAATAAAGGCTACACAACCAAATACTCAAGGAATCAAGTTATTTGTGGTTCAAAAATCAGGATAAAATTTTGATAGGATAGGAGTTTTTTGATCTAAAGTAGCAGATGGTAAACGATTGATTAAATAAGTAGCTGTTAGCACAGCTCCCCACAGAAGGATTTAAGAACATTTCTTTGAAAAAGAATGACACGTGTCACAGAAAGAATGTGACCAATTTTTCTTTCGGCCGCTCCATTTTGTTGAGGAGTGTCTACACAAGACGACTCATGGATGACTCTTTTTTTCTGAAAGAATGAGTGTCTACACAAGACGACTCATGGATGACTCCATTTTCTGAAAGAATGACGTTAGATTTTGATTGAAATAATCTCAAGCATTGTCAAAGCGGAATCGTTTGGGTTTGATTTCGAATTGGATTTCTATCATATGAAAGAATGTTTGAATGGTAGAGCCAACATCAGATTTTTGTTTAAAAAGAAAAAGAGCCCGAGAATTGATGTGTATTCGAATCATAGGGGCTAGTAATCGACGATATGCTCATATTGGTGACATTATTGTTGCTGTAATCAAGAAAGTCGTCCCAAATACACCTCTAGAAAGATCAGAAGTGATCAGAGCTGTAATTGTACGTAATTAAAAAGAACTCAAACGAGGTCGATTTCCCCTCTTTTGCAATCAGTTTCGCTACAGCACCTGCTACTCTAGCTAATTGTCCCCCCTTCCCAAGTGTGATTTCTATGTTATGTATGGCCGTGCCTAGGATTCTTGTGGTTCCGGAGAATCCAGCTACAGGAGAACCAGGAACGAAGAGCTTTCCCCCCTTTTCTGCCCGCCTCTTTGGTCTTAAGAATGCTGGTTTTAAGAATGAGTGATTGCCCTTCTCATGAGACTCGAGTATAGTCATCAATGAACACAATAAACTAGCGAAATTTGGTAACATTTGGCACATTGGAGGGACTCCACACATCAGTATGAATAAGAGAGAAAGGAACTCATATTCGTTTATTATTACTAGGGAAGAGTGCACACATGTGTTTAGCGAGTTCACAAACTTCACATTGAATTGACTTTGAATTAAGATTTTTGAATAAATCGGGAAATAAAATTTTAAGAGTTCGAAATAAAGGATGTCCTAGTCTATAGTGGTTCAACAAATGCTTACTCGAAGGATGATGAGTTTGTGAAGTGAAGGAGACGGAACAATATTCTGATCAATAGGTTCATCAAGATAATAGAGTCCATTTTTTTCGTTAGCAAGTTCGATCATCTTCCCATTGCCCTGGTCTTTTAAAATACAAGAAGAATCAGAAAAAGTTAATCTGCATCCTAAATCTTTGATCAAATTCTCCACCGAGATCAAATTAACAGTTAGTGTGGTATATGGAGCACGTTTCTTAACATAATGTTTGAATTTATCTTGATGTCTCTTTGACCAGCCACTGTTACTAATGTACCATATCCTGTAGAAATTTTTTTATTGCTCGGACAAGGACTATAATAGATAAAATGACAGCTACTATTCGTCATATGGTCAATTGCACCAGAATCAATAATCCAAGTACAACGTTTAGGCTGAGAAGTTGTACTTGTCAAAGTTACAGAACCTGTACCTTCACTAGTAGCATTATCCAAAGTTTTTAAGAGGTTCCTTAATTGTGTGATCTCTTGTATGTCCAACTTTTTGGTAATCTTGGACGTTTGCGATATTGATGCTAAAATGACTGAACAATAACTAAAAAATAGAGATCCACGCACAAAACTGACGGTTGAAGTACCAAATAGAAGGATGAGGAAAAATCAGCACTAAACTGAACTAAACCAAACTGAAAGAGGGCTGAATCGAACCAAAACCAGTCAAACTGAACTAAAAAACGGGCTTAACCAAGTTGATAAACGCCGAACTAGATCGACAACAAATTGAACCAGGCCCAAAATAAATTGAACCGGGTCGAAATGGGCGGGACCGAGTTGAATGTATGTTGAACCGGATCGAAATTTGCAGAATCGGGTCGGAAACACACTGAACCAAACCGAAATATACTAATCGGAATGGAAATACTTTGACCCGGATCGAAACAAGCTGAACCGGACAGACCAGAAAAATCAAATCAGACCGAACTGGACAAAAAATGATTTTTTCTTATCTTATTTTTTATGCCCTAAAACCACAGCAGCCACACGATCCACGAATAGACCACGAACGGCAAACCCAAAAATTGTAGGAAATTGATCGACAATGAAGGTCGATTGAAAAAGTGATCGACAATGAAGGCCAATCAAAAAAGCCTAAAGGCTCTGATACCATGTTAATTGATAAGAAAAATAATTATTTCTTGCGTAGTTCTAAAGAATTGATACAAGACTATAAATAGGAGCTATAGAAAAGAAAAGAAAATAAACCCTTGCCTATTAGGATAAGAAAACACTTATCCATAAGAACAAGGAAACCTAACCTAAATACAATAGCAAATTAAAAAAAATAATATAATTTAACAGTAGGGATACCACTCAAGTAAGCTCTAATCATTAATTTCTCGTCTGGTAGTTACCTCTTGGTTTTCAAATTTAAGTTTTCTCTACCTCTACAAATTCCAATAGCATTGGATAGGATATGAATTACTATGACAGTTGATTTAGTTGTTTCAACCTTGAAGAGCATATCCATGATGATTAGTAAATTTGAAAAAATAGCCCAAATTTGTACAAATGATCTTAGTAGAATGTTGTCATGTTCATGTTTCACAAAAATATCAGGATTTTCTACCTTTCTATTTTCTGAAGAAGGTTGGAACAATATTAGCAAGTGGAGAACGAAAGAGTGTGAGCTAATAGCTAAGGTGATGGACAAAGTAAGGGAAGGAGTTATCACCATGGCTTGGGTTGCAACTTCAATGTTCAGCTTGGTTCCAGGTAAACACCAAATAGTTGTCTCTAGCTAGCTAGCATCAAAAGTTTTTGCACTATTTTCCCTCCAATTTGTACTTCTTGACCTGATTTCCTTTTTATTCTTCTTTTTCATATAGAAAATAATTCATCAATGACTTTGGTGAACATAGAAAGATTGAAACATTTTTTACGTGAATTTTTTTACAATTTCTGTGAGTATAGAAAAAGTTTGTAATTAAAATTTAGTTAAAAAACGGTAGAGATGTTTGGTGGGTGGGAGTTGAATGTTTAGGAGATTTAGAGTTACTTGTATGATGTGATGTTTCAATTCATATGGTAGACTTCGTAGAATTTTGAGATTTGACTCAAAGTATGGCATTATTGTTTTTGTTTTGTGGAGTTAAAAAGTTTAGAAAATTTGGAGTACATTGTATTTTGTCATGTGTCAATGGCTTTGATGAAATTTAGTCGAGGATTGAGTCAGCCTTGCTTTCTTGTTTTCTTGGGATTATAAATGATGTGTATTGAAGAAATTTAGTACAATTGCCTGAAAATTTGATAAAATGACTTGGTATGAACATTTTCTACATTTACGTGTGTTCATTTAATAAGGATTATTGTTTGTTTCATTCTCCGTATTCACGTAACTATTTTCCATTTCTAAATATTTTGTAGGTGAATGAAATAATATAAAAGCAAATGGATTAAAGATGACAACTCATTGTACTATAGGTTGCTTTATTCTCCAAAATGTGGTGAATTTTGTAATATATGAGCTCACTTTATTAGATATTACTTTTGGTGAATTTATGTAACTTTACTAATATTGAATACTTTATTATGTGATGTAATGGATTATAAAATCTTTATTTATAAAAGGATGACATTTAATGTTTTATATAATATTTTTGCATGTTTATTGAACTACAAGGGAGTTCTTAAGCCAATTTGATCCAATTTGATCGAACTATACAAAGTTACCCAGCAAAAGCTAAATGCTATAAAAAAAGTCGACCGTAATAATTACAGCAATGGAATAAAATTATAGAAATCTATAACTACCTAATATAAATGCTATATATATAATATGTCTAAATAAAAAGCAATTATAAGTTTAAGATAGTGCAAAATTTGAGCTATAATGACTTTTAGTAGCATCAAAAAAAGGCTATTATAAGTTTACGTTGGTAGTTCTATATACCATATGATAGCAAAAAAAATAGCTATTATGGATTTAAGATTACACAAAAAAGAGCTATTTAAACAAAAAAGAGCTATTATGGATTTAAGATTACACAAAAAAAGAGCTATTTAAACATAAAATAGCTATTATGGATTTAAGATAACACAAAAAAGAGCTATTTAAACATAAAATAGCGTTAAATGAAAGTACTATTCAAGGTTTACATAGCAATTGAAATATGCTATAACTTCTTCATTTATTATAGCGTCAACTATAGCTCTTGAAAAACGCTATCAAAAGTCATGGACTTTTAATAGCATCGGCTGTCACGACTCTAAAAAAACGCTATAAAAAGTCTTCAATAGCGTTTTTCATGAACTATCGTATCCCTTTTTTTTGTAGTGTATTCCGAGACATCCTTTATTCCCATGGACAAGGGCTTTCTTTGCCCTCCCATTTTCATGGGTTTGTCCATTGGTTCTGTATCATGTTTTTTATCTCTCTCATTTTCAATAAATTATTTTTTTAAAATGTAATTATTTACTTTATTTTATTAACATAAATTAATTAAAATTATTCAAAATTATTAAATTGAATTTATAGTTAATAAAACAACATAAAAAATTTATCTAAATTAATTATTCTACTGTAATAAATTAATTTATTAAAGTATATTCTTAACTTTTTTTCCTATAAAAAATGTAATAGATGGATGCAATTGATAGAATGAAAATATCAATTTTGTTGAACACATTTCTTTTATGATAAATATTAGACTAATTATTAAGATTGATGGCTAAATAAAATCAACAAATAAATTTAGATATATCATTTATAATATATTTACTAATGAGTAGTGAAACTTAAATTAAAACATAATTGCTTAGAATAATTTTAATATTTTAACTTAATAAATATATATTATAATGTAAATTAATTTTGATTAATTCTAAAGCTTTATACCCGAATATCATTTTGCTAAATATGTTTATGTTGAATTTTAGGTAAATAACTTTTACTATTAATTGTTCAACTGATCACTATGCTAAATTGTCACAATTTATAGTTTAGAATGTTAATATAAAATAACTTATAAATTAAAATTATTAAATTTCTATAATTTATTTTTAATTAAATTTGATTATTTATTAATAATATCTACAATGACATAAAATGCATATTTCTAAAGTAATCACACAAAATAAACATATATATAATTTTTTTTCAGACATCTCAATTTCAGTCATCTTAATCTCAGACATATATACAATCAAACACAGTTATCTTTGATTTCCATGCATTTTATTCTCAGGCAACTTAATTCTAGATATCTTAATCCCAAGTTACCTTTTTGAAACCTTCAACCAAATGGCCTCAAATAGTCTATAGAATATAGATAAGGTTGGGTACCATATCCTGGTAACACTATGGATACGACCCACTTTGTAATAGTTACAAATGACTTGATCCAGGTCATTTGTGTGGAGACATGCGAGTGGGGGTATGCAATAAAATGAGTTTCTATAAGATTGGACAGCGAAATAACTAATCTTTAGTCGTAACATTGTTATCTAATAGAGTATTATTTCATGGGATGACCAGGTAACTCGATCTCTGAGTGAGTTATGGACTCTTGCCTATTAGGGCTCGTCCTTTGATTTGTATGGATGAGAGTGGCCTGAGTCGCCGACTCAACATTCCTCCATTTTGGGGATGAGACCGAGTGGGGAGCTAGGAATATAACTTCACAATATGGAATTCACCCCTCCCCAACTTTAGGGGAGTAGATGATTGTTCCCTTTAGTCCTAACTCTGGGACTTGAACAAGGGGCCCATCCTCTCACTAGCCCGAGAAGAACTTCTGATTATTGGTCGGACCATAACCGGGTTGTTCATTAGAGGATCAATGATACTTAAGGTACAAGATGTAACACAAGGGTAAAACGGTAATTTGACCCACCTGTGGTTAAACACTCGTGAATGATTGACTTGCCAATGGTCAATATCCATGGACGCAACTGTGGGTCTTTAATGAAGTGACCAATAGTTAATGAATGTTGATTAATATGGTTAATGAGTTTAATCAATTAATCTCGTATCTTTGGAACTTCTGATCTGTAAGTCCATTAGGTTTCTTTGCTAGTTGGTAAAAGATTGTTAAGAATATTTTGTCTTGAAAAGAATTTGAATTGTTCAAATTTGTTAAAGAGAATTAAAGTTAATTGTATGAAATGCAATTAATATAATGTATGTTGATACATTATGATATAAAGTAAATTTTGAATTGCATTCAAAATTAAACTATATGTTATGAGAGATGGATATTTGAATTTGATTCTAATACGATTGATTAATTTAATTAAATATGACTTAATTAAATTAATGGGTTAGATTAATTTGATTAAATTAAATTAGATTTAATTGAATTCAATTAACATTTCCTTTTCTATAATTAATTAAATAAAAAGAAAAAGGAACAACATCTCCCACTTCCCACAATTTGTATTGAGAAGTGAGGAGGTGGTGTCCCCCACCATTCCTTCATTAAGGAAGGTTCTCTCCGTTTGTTGTTGGTTGGTGTTTTCAGTTTCTAAACTCTAAAACAAAGCCTCCCTCTCAATCTCTCAATCTCTCTCTCAATTTTAAGAAGGTTCTCACAAACTAAGTTCTTAACGTCTAGAGGATAGCGAGGAAGGCTTTTTGGTGGTGTTGGTGTCTACATTGAAGAAGTGTATTCAAAGGTATGTTTCACCACTTCCATTTTTATAATGCTTTTGTCTTTTCTTTGTCGTATTTCTAAAACAAAATCGAAGTTCAAGCGTTCACCTGCTTCTACTGTGGGATTAAATCCCTTTACTTGTAGCATCATAAATAATCTGATTACCAAAACCTCAAATAAATCGGACCCCCCATAAGCCAAGCGTCATGCCACACAAAACAATGTTGATCACCTCTAATAGCAAACCGAACCAGAGGCCGAAAAGCATCCATAAACAGAAAGAATATCCTGCTAACACCAAGAGAACCAAGGCAAAGTATAAATGGTCCAAATACAATCCCTCGAAGAATATAAGCCTCCACCCAAGACACCCAAAGAGAT